GTTATTATCATAATAATTAAAAATAAAAAGAGGGAAATGAATTCTGTCGTGAATAAGGCCAGTGGAGAATCATAGTTAGATTAAACTAGTATAGGATAAATTCAATGACTAATCTGATAATCCAGAAACCTAATCAGAAAGAGAATTTGGATTAATCAGGGATTCTAAAATTGATCCTATAAATATAGGCTTAAACAGAACCACAAAGGAAAAGAGAAGAAAACAGAAGCAAAAAGGGTTTTGGTGAGTTAGAAGCAATTTTAGGATTTTGTGGGAATTTTTTCAAAATTTTGGGTGATTTTTTTCTGGAAAATGTCTGAAAAATCTAGATTTCAATGAATTTTCCAACAAGATTTCAAGTTTTTTTATGATTTTTTCGACGAAAAACCCAATTTTCAATGATAAAACCCAAAAACCAACAGGAATTTCACCAGAATTCTTCACGGGTAGAAAGAGAAACAGAGGAAAAAGAAGAGAAAGAGAGAGCGAAGAAGCCATTTGAGAAAAAGAGAAATTGTTCATCTTTTATACCTAGGTGAAATGATGCCATTTTGGGATGTCGAAAGTGGGTAGGATCAGCGCGTCACCCCAAATTCGACCCGACCCGCAACGCACAGACTCGCCAACTCATTTTATTCAGCCCCTATTAAACTGATAAGCCGAGCCATTCCAACCGTAATTGTCTCTAGAGCCACATCATTGTTGAGTCGTTGAACCGAGCTGAGCCGAGTCACGCCAAAGGTTTTTTTTTCATTTATTTATTTATTTATTTATTTATTATTATTATTGATTAAATTAAAATTATTTGGTATTCTTTAATTTATTTTTATTTTATGTTATTTTTTTTCTTTTTTTCAATGATTTTCTTAAAATAAAATTCTCAAAAAAATATATTTTTGAGGAAAAGTTAAAAGTATCAATTTTTCTTCAAAATAAAATTTTTTAAAAAAATTTTGAAAAAAAGTTGAATGTATCAATTTCCTTTGAACACAAAAATAAAAATATATATTTTTAGAGAAAAGTTGAAAGTATCAATTTTTCTTAAAAATAAAATTTTTAAAATAAAAATTTCCAAAAGCATTTTGGGAAAAAATTGAAAGTATCAATTTTTCTTAAAAATAAAGAAAATAATAGGGTTTAAAAAAATATTTTTAGGAAAAAGTTGAAAGTATCAATTTTTTTAAAAATAAAATTTCTAAAATAAAAATTATCAAAAAAGTATTTTGAGGAAAAGTTAAAAATATCAATTTTTCTTGAAATTAAAATTAAAAAAAATATTTTGAGAAAAAGTTGGAAGTAGCAATTTTTCTTAAAAATAAAAATTATCAAGAAAAACATTTTAAGAAAAAATTAAAAGTATCAATTTTTTTTAAAATAAAAACTCTCAAATGCTTTAAGAAAAAGTTAAAAGTATCAATTTTTCTTATATAAAATCAATAAGTTTTTTTTTTTAAAAGAAAATGATTTTATATCAAAAATTGAATCATTATTCTTTTTTTTTATTATTATTATTTTTTCTTTCTTTAAAAATTTTTTATGATAAATAATCTGACAATGGAGTCTTTGCAAGTGAAACAGTAATTTTTTTATAAACTTTTAAGGTGAATGAATTTTTTTAATTTTCTGCAAAAAGTATTGGAGTCAATTAAGAATGATTTCTAATAATTAATTACTTGATAAAAAATTTTTAAGCTTAATGAATAACACGAAATCAAGTTGGTATCATCATTCAATGGGTGTTGTGAGGGTGCTATAACCTTCCTTACTCATGATCGAACTCTTGAATCCTATTCTAGTTAATAGACTCGAGCATATTCTTTTAGAGACCTTTAAACTTATGTGTTCCTTAAAAGGATAGATTCTTTAGATGGTCAATCGTACCTAAACAAAAAAGATTGGTGGCAACTCTTTAAAGTCAATGTCAAGTGATAGATCCACAGATCTAGACGTTATGACAGAGATCTACATCAAAGTAAATCTTACCAAACTTTTGGAGTATTTTACTAACTATTTTCTTGGATAAAATACATCATTAAATCCAACTAGGGAACCTCTTCATGGTGGAATACTAGTTTTTATGAATTTTTTTAAGTAAAAAATTTGTCTTAAATTGATACCAAACTATTTGAGTAATCTTAATATTAATTTTTAATAGTAAATATTTTGATAAATTATAAAAATATTTAAGACTTAGATAATTTGACATGAAATTGATATTATTTTTTAGATATGTGCTATGAGGATGTTATAACTTTTTTTATGTAGAACCACATTCTTGAATTTGAAATTTAATTTTGTAAATTAAAATTTACTATTTAAAAATACTTAAATTAATTTTAAAATTTTTTTAAATAAGATAAATTTAATTAGATAATTAATTATATTTAAATAAAAAATATTAGTGATGATTTTTTAAAATTTCTTAAATTTATACATTATGATACTTTGTTTGACGTAAATAAAGTAGTTTCACTGCAACAACGGTTTCGTTTTGATCAAGAATTTCTCTGTAAACAGAACCAAAGCTACCTGCACCAATTAAATTTTCTAAGAAAATCCATCAGTAGCTTTGAGACTTGCGTAGGTGACTATTAGAAGCAAAATCCTTCCTGATTGATGAAGATGCTAGAGGGACTGTAGGCTTTCTTTTCACCTTTCTTAATCGATTAGCAGTTAGAAGAGACGTGGTTAACACAAGCTCCAGCAGTCCAAAGAGTAATCCAATAATAAACTTGAGTCTTTGAGAAAGTTTTCGTAATCATAATACGATGGACATATAATAATTTTGTATAAGTGATCCCAATTTGCATAAGATGAAAAAAAAATAAAGGGCCTCCGTTAAAGGATAACTAACCTGCAAAAAAGTGCAAGTTTACTGGATATACAGCCGAACAAAGAATTACATGATTTGCGCAAGTGTTCACAATTCTCTATAAAAGATTATTAAATTCCGGAAACACCTTGAGGCCAATGATGACAGCTCTGTAAAATTGCATTATTACTTTAAAATAAACTCTCTTCACCAACAACTATATCTATTTCTGCATGAGATGGGCAGGGGCAGGTTTTTTTAAGAAAAAAAAAATTATAGAACAAAGAAAGTAGGAACAGATGGAATCGAAGAAAGGTCAAAGCAAGTGGAGGGAGGCTTGCAATGATATTTGGTAAGAGTGAATGTACTGAATACTTCACCTACATAACTTCTTAACTTTTTGCATTTTCTCTTTTCATTTGATGGGACACGATGACCAAAACTCCTTCGCGTATAGATAAAGAAAGCACCCATTCCAAAGTGTAATAATCACATTTTCAAGGACCTAGTGAAAGCCATCGGACCCCACAACTTAAATGAATTTTGTTGGGAGTTTAGACTATAAACCCAAACCACCTCTCCAGATTTTCATTTTCATTTGGGTGCATAATCACCTCTTTTGGGTGCATAATCACCTCTCTGAGTTTTGACCTGCAACCGAAAAAGTCACCCAATCAAGCTTATTGTGCGAGTCATTGATTTCATAATTCAAAAGAAATAACATTTTCAGAACTTACTGTCCCAGTGTAACAAAATTGGACAATTTAATGAGGTATATATATATTATATAATAATGCACTTGTATATTAAATTATTGTTGGTTGAAATTTGAAGGTATCTGAGTTTAACAGGATTGCGTAAAAGCGTTGTTTCTTGCCGCCCAGAAACATGTGTTACACGACAGTGAAACTTTCGGTAATTATCATTATCAAGCAATCCCAGCGGTTGAACCATTGCATCATATATTAATGATTCTTTATCATTGGCCAAATATTTCCGCAATTCTACACTGACTTTAAATCTCTACAAAAGAAAAAAAATGTTTTTAAAATTAAATTCAACAAAGCCAAATCAAAAGGTTTAATCATATTAATAACTGGACATCTTATTGTTAAATTTTTACATTTTTATGTATTTTCATTAAATTGTGGTGTCTTTCGATGAGTTCTCTTTCGGTTTTGTTTCTTCTTTATCTTTCATATGTAAAAGTCAAATCAAGAGATTTAATCATTTTAATAATTGGATCATCTAATTGTTAAACTTTTACATCTTTATATATTTTCATTAAATTGTAGTGTCCTCCAATATTTCGGCTTTGTTTTTCTTTTATCTTTCATATGCAAAAATCAAATCAAGAGGTTTAATCATATTAATAACTGGACTATTTGATTATTAAACTTTTACATCTTTATGTATTTTTATTAAATTGTGACGTCCTCTAATGAGTTATCTTTCAGCTTTGTTTCTCTTTTATTTTCATACGCAAAAATCAAATCAAGAGGTTTAATTATATTAATAACTGGACCATCTGGTTGTTAAACCTATACATTTTTATGTTTTTCATTAAATTGTGGTGTCCTCCAATGAGTTCTTTTCCGACTTTGCTTGTTCTTTATCTTTCATATGCAAAAGTCAAATCAGGATGTTTAATCATATTAACAACTGGACCATCTAGTTGTTAAACTTTTACATCTTTATATATTTTCATTAAATTGTGGTGTCCACCAATGAGTTCTCTTTCGGCTTTGTTTTTCCTTTATCTTTCATATGCAAAAGTCAAATCAGGAGGTTTAATCATATTAATAACTGGACCATCTGATTGTTAAACTTTTACATCTTTATGTGTTCTCATTAAATTGTGGTGTCCCCAATGAGCTCTTACAGCTTTGTTTCTCCTTTATCTTTCATATACAAAAGTCAAATCAGGAGGTTTAATCATATTAATAACTGGACCATCTGGTTGTTAAACTTTTACATCTTTACGTATTTTCATTAAATTGTGGTGTCCTCTAATTAGTTCTCTTTTGGCTTTGTTTCTTTTTTATCTTTCATGTGCAAAAGTCAAATCAAGAGATTTAATCATATTAATAACTGGACCATATGGTTGTTAAACTTTTACATCTTTATGTATTTTCATTAAATTGCGATGTCCTCTAATAAGTTCTCTTTCGACTTTGTTTCTCTTTTATCTTTCATATGCAAAAGTCAAATCAAAAAGTTTAATCATATTAATAACTGAACCATCTGATTGTTAAACTTTTATATCTTTATATATTTTTATTAAATTGCGATATCCTCCTATGAGTTCCCTTCCGACTTTGTTTCCCCATCATCTTTCACATGCAAATGTCAAATCAAAAAATTTAATCATATTAATAACTGAACTATCTGTTTATATCTTTATATACTTTCATTAAATTCTGGTGTCCTCCTATGAGTTCTCTTTCGGCTTTGATTGTCCTTTATTTTTCATATACAATTATATTCTTATTGCCTTCTGTTTTTGTAGGACTCGGTATTTCCAAAAGCATGAAACACGCTTTTCCGAATTCAGGAAGTTCGTTCTCATTTTTCTTCCAAGGAATTTTGCTTTTGTGGGTGACTTCATGTCTGGAATTTGGAATAATACATACTTTTGCAAATGAAACTGATCGAGTTGCTTTGCTTGATTTCAAAAATCGGGTAACTCAGGATCCTCTTCAAGTCATGGCTTTGTGGAACAATTCTGTTCATTTTTGCAGCTGGGTTGGTGTCACCTGCAGCCCATCGAATGGAAGAGTAGTAATTCTGAACCTGAAGGGCCAAAACTTAGTTGGCTCCATACCACCTTCCATAGGAAACCTTACATTCCTCACTGGAATCAACCTCATAAAAAATGGCTTCAAGGGTGAAATTCCTCAAGAAATTGGTCGCCTATTGCGCTTGCAGCATCTCAATTTGACATTGAATTCCTTGGGAGGAAAAATTCCTACAAATCTAACTCATTGTACGGAACTTAAAATCCTTCGCCTTGCTGGCAATGGGTTTATTGGCCAAATTCCACGCCAACTTAACACATTGTCGAAGTTGAGAATTCTGGATCTAGGAAGTAACAACCTTACCGGAACAATCCCAACTTGGATAGGTAACATTTCTTCTCTTTATGCTCTTTCGTTAGGACCAAATAATTTACAAGGAATCATACCTGATGAACTTGGTAAGCTATCGGGCTTGGGATTTTTTCAGCTTTATGGAAATTATCTGTCTGGTACGGTTCCTCCTCCGATTTATAATATTTCTTCCATATATTACATTTCTGTCACTCAAAACCAGTTGCAGGGACATCTACCACAAGATGTTGGCCAAACTCTTCCTAATTTAGAAGTATTTGCTGGTGGTGTCAACAATTTTACAGGAGCTATTCCAGTATCATTGTCAAATGCTTCTAAACTTCAGATAATTGACTTTGCTGAAAATGGTCTTACTGGGACCATACCTGAAAATCTTGGAAGTCTTGGAGATTTAATTAGACTAAATTTTGATGATAACAAACTTGGAACTGGGAAAAGTGGTGACCTAAGCTTTTTCAATTTCTTGACTAATCTTTCTACTCTAGAAGTATTAGGTCTTGCTGGAAATCGTTTTGGAGGAGAACTGCCTAGCACCGTAGGCAACCTTTCAGACAAGTTGAAAAGCTTTACCATAGGAAGGAATCTGATTCATGGAAGTATCCCCACTGGAATTGGAAACCTTGTTAATTTGTACAATCTAGGAATGGAAGGCAACCATTTAAGTGGTACCGTACCTGATGTTGTTGGGAAGCTTCAAAAACTACAGGGATTGAATCTGAATGTTAATAGATTTTCAGGATCGATACCATTTTCATTTGGAAATTTAACTTCATTAGTTAGTCTCTTTATGGAAGAGAATAGATTTGAGGGAAGTATACCTCCAAGCCTTGGAAATTGCCAAAATTTGCTTGTGCTGAATTTTTCTAGTAATAATCTCAGTGGCAGCATACCTAGAGAGATTGTGGCCCTTTCTTCACTTTCAATTGCTTTGTCCATATCTCATAACTCTTTGAGTGGCTCAATTCCCGTTGAAGTTGGTAACCTGAACAACCTTGTGGAGCTAGACCTGGCAGAGAATAGACTTTCAGGTGAAATTCCTAGCAGCCTTGCTAGTTGTATGAGTTTAGAATTCCTGTATTTGGAAAGCAATGCATTTGTAGGAATTATTCCTTTATCTTTGAAGTCTCTAAGAGGTCTAGAAGAAATAGATCTTTCACGCAACAACATGTCCGGGCAAATTCCGGAGTTTCTCAGCAAGATTTTATTTCTCAGGCATCTCAATCTCTCCCATAATGATTTTGAGGGAGAAGTACCACAAGCAGGCATATTTGCAAACGTAAGTGCTTTTTCCGTTGTTGGAAACAATAGGCTCTGTGGTGGTGTCCAGGACTTGCATTTACCAGCATGCACCAGAAAAATTCCAAGAAGAGTTCTTTCTCCGAAGATGGTAATCCCTATTACAAGTGCAGTCATATTTATTGTTCTCGCCTGTTCCTTGTCTTCATATTATCTAGTAAGAAACTTGAAGAGTCAATCCAGTGCATCATCCTCCATGGACTGGCAAGTCGCTCTGTCCTACTCTGATCTTCTAAAATCAACTAATGGCTTCTCTGAAGAAAATTTGATTGGTTTGGGTAGTTTTGGTTCTGTATATAAAGGAATTATCTCCAATGATGGAACATTTGTTGCAATTAAGGTATTAAACCTTCAACAGCAAGGAGCTTCTAGGAGTTTTGTTGATGAATGCAATGTTTTGAGAAATGTGCGACACCGTAACCTCCTCAAGATCATAACTGCTTGCTCTACAGTTGATCATCAAGGGAATGACTTCAAATGTCTTGTATACGAGTTTATGCCTAATGGAAATCTAGATCAGTGGCTGCATCCTGGAGCTAATGAGCAGAATGAAAGCATGAAACTGAGCCTTGTCCAGAGGCTGAATATAGCCATCGATATTGCTTCTGCTTTGGATTATCTTCATCACTACGGTGACACGCCAATTGTTCATTGCGATCTAAAGCCGAGCAATGTGCTCCTTGATGCAAATATGACTGCACATGTTGGTGACTTTGGATTGGCAAGCTTCATCTTTGATTCATCCATTAATGCCTCCGGGAATCAAGCCATTTCAGCCAGGCTAAAAGGTTCCATAGGGTACATTCCTCCAGGTATGATTTTCATTTTGATGGATCACTCTTCATATAATTAACAATTTCTAAAGGAATAAATCAGGTATTCATAAGCAAAATTAATTCAATATTTTCAATTTTCAAATTCTAAAGTGCCTTTAAACAACTAAAACAATTTACTGTATTGAAAAATATTTGTTTGTACATAGATACAAAGATAGCTAATTTTGATCTATTACAATTTGCAGAATATGGCATGGGCGGCCAAGTTTCCATAGACGGAGATATTTACAGTTACGGGATTCTATTACTGGAGATGCTTACGGGAAAAAGACCAACTGATGACAGCTTTGATGATGATTACGGCATTTGTAAGTTCGTTGGCATGGCTTTGCCTGGACATGTCATGGATATTGTTGACCGATCAATGCTTTTTGAAGAAGAAAATGTCCACAATAATGACCGAGAAAACAGAGAGGATTATGTAGAAGAAAGAGCATTAATCAAAAACCAGGATTCTCAAGTTAGAACCCCAAGTATAATACAAGAATGTTTGGTTCTGATGATGCAAATTGGACTCTCCTGTGCTACAACAGGGCCAAATGAGCGGATGCCCATGACCATTGTTGTAAACAAATTGCTTGATATCAAATCCATGTTTCAAAATGTATTGATTGAAAAGCTGAAGTAATGGAACAACAATAATGTGTTGACTCTCGAAAGTGCATCGAAGTCATTTTGCCTATCCAGATGTAATATTTTTATTCCACCTATAAAAAGCTATTTATCTATACCTTTAATCATGTTCATGTTCGGAGTACATCTCCCTAAGTGTGTCACGCGATGCTCTCTCACTCTTTTTTTTTTTTTAACTTTTTTCAAAAGTTTTTTATATTTTTAATTTTTTCACATTTTTTTAAATTTTATAAATATTTTTAAAAATTTAAATTTTTTAAAGTGGGATCCACTTTATAACAACATTTTTTCCTTTTTCTTTTTTTAAAATTATTTTATTTTTTCAGATTTTTTTCAAATTTTTAAAATTTTATTAATAGTTTTTAAAAGATTTAAATATTTTAAGATGGGATCTACTTCATACCAGTTTTTTTTTTTCATTTTTACTTTTTCATTTTTGAAAATTTTTTTGTAATTATTTTTTGTTGAATTTAAATTTTTTTGTATGAGATCCATTTAATTTCAAGTGTGTGCCACTTATTTTCTTTTTTTCTTTTTTTATATTGTCCTTTTTTTTATACATTTAATAAATATTTTTAAGATTTTAAATTTTTTTATTTGACCCATTTGATATCCAGAGTATAGCACGCCTCTAAGTCATTCACTTTTTTTCTCTCTTTTTTTTAATCTTTTTCTATTTATTTTATCTTTGTTTTTCCCTTTATAATATTTAGTAAAAATTTTAAAAATATTTGAACATTATTTAAAAATGTGTAACTTATTTGATATTATTGATTTAATTTTTTATTTTTTAAATTTTATAATTTTTTTAGAAAATGATATTACAAAGATATCAACTTTTAAATTTTATATTTTATTTTCTTTTTTATTTTATTTTTATTTTTTTAAAATCATGATATATATTTTGCCAAAAAAAACCTCATCATTGTTGATGTGCTTGACAACTCAACTTTCTTTTGTTTTCCCCTTTTTAGTTTTTTTTAGTATAAAATTAGATCATGTTTTTGAAAAAAAAAAGATTGACCGATGAGTATACATGACATTATATTTTGTTTTTTTCCTTTCACTTTTTATTTTGATTTTTACTTTTTTAATTAGATAAATTTAACATTAAAAAGAAATGGTGAATAAATTTTTGAAAAACTACCAATTTAAAGATAGAAGACAAAACAATCCGTACCTTGTAGGTTTCAATTTATTCTAATTCAATTGTTTTATTTTTTTTCTTTTGGATCAGATCAATTTTTTTCAAAAATTAGAGATAAGTCAAATGCAAGTTTAAGATGTTTCATGTTTCCTAGGTGTATATAAATATATATTTTATTATTCATTTAATTTTGTATATATATATATATTATATTAATAAAATTATTATTTATTATCTTAATTTAATAAATTCATGTGTCATTCTCATTTAGTTTTTTTTTTTTTTACCACCATTTTCTTTGTTGTTTTCAACGGATACAGGAATGACAAATCAACTCGTATTCCTTATGTTTCGATTTGTTCTGATCCAATATATGCAAGTTTTTAAAAAAATTTAGATCAATTTAAGATTTTTTTTTTTTAAAATTGGAGTCCAATCGGAGACGAGTTTAAAATTTTACATCTTGCCTTGAGTATATTTAAAATTTTTTTTAATTATTTATTTTATTTGATATTTATTTATATGCATTTTATTAATTAAATTATTATTTAAGATCTTATTTACATAAAAATTCTATATTTATAAATAATTAATATGTAATCTATTCATCCATCCATCCATTCTTAATATGAATTCTACTTATTTTAATTTTTATTTTACACTCATTCAAAGTGTCAATGTGACACTTTATGTTTTTTTTTTTATTTTTTATTTAAGTAAATTGGTAAACAAAAACTAATTAAAGGTTTATATACGACAACCCAATTTGATTTTTTTAGTTTGTTTTTTATTATATAAATTTTGTAATAAAAAGAACCAATGGATAGAGATGACAAAATAATTTGTACTTAATAAATTTTGATTCGACTCGATTTAATAAGAGATGATTTTTGTTCTTTATAATTTTTTCTCTTTTTTCGCTTAATTTTTTATTAGATAAATTTCATAAGGAAATAATGACGATAGTGGTGTCCATGTAAATCTTCATTTGTTTTTCTTTTCGTTTTTTTAATTAAATCAATTTTATAACAAAATGAGTCATTTGATGCTGACCTGATCCATCTCAATTCAATATGAATGCTTTTGTAAAAATTGACATTAAATCAAGTCGAATCTCTTTTTCGATAAAAAATAGAAATAATTCAAAAGTGGATTTAGGGTACTTTGTTATAAGCCATCCGATCATATATATATATATATATAATATATTTTATTATTTATTTAATTTTATATTTAAATATATATATATTATGTGAATAAAGTTATTATTTTATATCACCTTCATTTAGTTCTTTTATTACATTTTGTCTTTTGTTTTTTGCAATGAACAATCAACGAATAAAAATGACAAAACAAAATATATAATTAAATTTATATTTAATAAAAAATTTATATTTATATACAATCAAGAAATAATTTATGTTTAAAAAAAATTTTTTTCATGAATGTTAGATATTTGAATTTTTTTGTTAAGTTGGATAAAATGTTGATTACACATATGCATGTTGGATCATGATCAGGTGTCAAAAATAATAAGATAAACCTCACACACACCCTTTTGTAGTATTTGATTTTCTCATTTTCATAGGAAACCCTATTTACACCTCTTTTATTACTCTATATATTCTATTTCTAAATACACCTCAAATTCAAAACTCAATTTCCTATTTCTACTAAATACACCCCACCCCTCACTTTCTATTTTTTACCTTTTCTTTCTTATTCTCTCTTCACTTTCTAAAATCGAGTTTATAAAAAATAAATATCCGAAAAGTTTGAGATTTTTCGAATATAGATATTCGATAAGCTTTAAAGATTCTCGAATATTCATTTCTTAGGATTCTCGAATATTCATTTTTTAGAAGCCTAAAAAATGTTTAGATATTTATTTTTTAGAAGACTCAAAAATTCTCAAATTTGGATATTTTAGAATCTTTCAATCTTCTCATATATTTATTTTTGAAAAACTCAATTTCACTTTTAATTACTGAAAATCTTAATCATGAGCTTATGAACTCATTTACTTGATCATATGTACGAATGAAACTAAAATTGATATTCTCAACATGTACGGCATAAACTTATTATTTCTTTTAAGTTTCCAAAAAACCTAAAACATTATTTTTTGATTTTCTGATTTTGCATGAGTAAAAGGATATTCTTGATTTTCTAATTTTAGAAAAAACACCTTTATGCCCATGCATACTTGAAAACTAACATGTCTATTCTATTCGCATATATGATCGAGTAAGAATAAGTATATCAATGACTTGTATGTGTACATGCATGCTAATCCGAGCTCAAGCATATAAAGAACATTGACCTTAACAATGTAATCAACAAACTGACAAATCAGACAATAAAAATTTTTAATCTTTCGACTATCAATCCTTACTGTTAGATTATCAGTCTACTGATGACATTATTAGTGGTACATTCGATTTTCCCACGCCAAATTGATAAAGAAGTTAATTTATTTTAGTAGTATTTATTTTAAAATTAAATATATTTATTTTATTTAAATTAAAATTAAACGTTATCAAAAGTTTATAATTAAATATATATTTAAACAAAAATTTATGCATTTTTTTAAATGAATTTTCGAGAATTATATTACATTTTTGAAAATCTATTTTCAAAAGTCATATTTTTTTCTTGAAAATGAATTTTGAAAAACACAATATAATTCTTAAAAATTCATTTACGAAATATACAAAAGTGATTTTGATATGTATAAGTTATTAAAGATATTTTTATCATTTATTAAAGATTAAAATTTATATTTGCTATATGGGTATTTTTAGAAGAAAATTTTTAAAATATATAAAAAAAATTTTGTGATGTATTTAAAAGGCCTCCATTTCACTTGACGATTTTTTTTTCTCATTTATACCCTTGAGATTGACTTTCATCATAGAAAGACTTACAATATTAAATAGTTAAGAGAAAGACATTAACACCTTTACTGTTAACTCAAAATTTCAAAATTCACCCATACCATAGAAAAAAAAAAATTTTAAATGCTTAAAAGGAAACCAAAGCTCAACCTGATTCCACAAAGGGTTGGAAGTTGCAGTAGGGATTTGAACCTGCTTGCTGCTACCATCTTCACCATCTACACCTAAAAGCTTCTCTAATCCTATCAAATGGGTTATCAATCCAATCATCTCAATTCACACTTTCTTTCAACATTAATTCTAGCCTATCTCATGAGCATGATCCAAATTCAAATCAAGGTTCATTGTATCAAATGTTTCATCACCCATGAAGAATTCTCCAAAAAAAACTCCTCTTTTCGTTCCCACATAAAATCCTACTTCTAATCTTCACAAGTTTAAAATATTCAGATATAAATAACTTAAATTTACCTTAAATTTAAAGAAACTCAAATTATATCATCACAAAACTAAACAAACCCAAATCATAAAAAAAAATCCTAACTTCTATCATAAAATCTAATAAAATCCAAATCCAAAAATCCTTCATCGAGAATCATTAAAACAAAGAAATAAAACCTAATTTCATCACAAATATCAAGAAACCCAGATTTAAAACCCAAATTCTCAACCTCCCAAATTAAAAGAATCTTACCCTTGGGTCATTAAGACGGTGCCTTCAAAAAAAAATTTGTGTAGCTCTGATTTGGGTTGGCTTCAAAATTATAATTGAAGGATTATGTGGGCTGACAAGAGATTGAATGATTGAACGATTAAAGGATTGGGTGAATGGGTGATACAGAAAATGAGAGAAGTTAAATGATTGAATGGGTTAGTAAGAGAGAGAAAAAGAAAACGTGAAAAAAAAAAATTAAAATTAATGAATAGTTAAAACATGGGTATAATTTAAATTTCAAGTTATTTAACTTGAGCATGTGCAAAACATGCGCTAATCACCGTAAGCTTTTCTGGTAATGGTGCTAATCATATGATTATAAGTGAAAAAAAAAAAAATTTCAAAAGATGAATGTGAAAAACGCGAATCCCACAGAATGTATATGGAGTTTATCTTAAATAATAACCCAATGTCATGTTGAAATTGAGACAAGCATAAATCCATCCTTACTCAACTCATTATCATTTTTAAGTAAAATTATTCACGTTTATTTGGCTCTATTTACTTTTGTTTCTTTTCTTGGGTTTTTTTAATTTTTTTTTAGTTTTTTAATCGTTTATTTTAATATTTTTAATTATATTTATAAAGATAAATTTGAAAAAACAGATATAGTTTTGATTTATTATATAAGTTATAAAAATGAAATGCATATATTATATATAAATTAATTAATAAATTTTCATTTAGCATTACTCTTTCAAAAAATTATAAACGAACTTATAAATTCATCGTAAACATTATTAGTTACAAATAAAAAATTTTAGCAAGCATCAACGCGCAGACAATGTTGCTAATTATTACTATTAACTTTTGTGTTTTCTTATAGTCCAGAAGTATTATATAATTATGTGTTCTCGAGTGAGTTTAATTTTGCATATGGGGCAATTAGGAACAGGAACTGAGTCTATGGCTTCAAATTTCATATACAAAATCCCGACTCTAGCAACAGAACAAAACAGTCTCAGACATTTCAAAGAAGAGGTTCATTTCCAAATTCTATTTCATGATCTTATTTAACCGTGGATCCAAGAAGAAGACCTCTGACTAGCTGCAATTCTTTGAGAACATCACTAAGTTTCATTCGCTCTTTAGGTGATTCCACCGAACAAGCAACTCCTATTCTGAGTATTTCTGTCAAGCTATCTTGCAGTTGGTCCTTTTTGATGTCTGCTAGGATATAAATGTCTTCATTTGTTATTTCTTCTTCTTCTTTCCCTCCCCCTCCTGCAACAAATAATGGATCTACAACTTCTGATATTCGTTCAGGCAATGCTGTCTTAACGAAATTATGGAGATCCAGTCCATCTTTAAACATTTCATCAGTAGGCCTCTTCCCAGTAAACATCTCTAACAAGAGTATCCCATAGCTGTATATATCACCATATGTTGAAACCTTACCTCCCATGCCGTACTCTACAAAACTCAAATATATGGCACCTCTGGCAATTAGACAGATAGGCATGTAAAAGACAAAAAAAAAAATTGGTTTACAAGAATATATTATATTCTATTGCTTCATATGATCTAATCTCATCTGAGAAACAAAAATTATATTTTGTCAATTTAGATTGAAAGATCCAACTTCGAATTTTGGTGTAATATTATTTGTGTAAAAAAATAATTTTTTTTCAATTTTACGGTAGAAAAGGGAAATGAAGGGTACCTGGTGCAGCATAACCGATAGTTCCCTTCAGTCCAGCTGAACTGCTTTGGTTCGGATGAGACCTTTCGGTGGCTTCTAAAATGAAATTTGCTAACCCGAAATCACTGACATGAGCAGTCATGTCGTTGTCAAGTAGGATGTTACTGGGCTTTAAATCACGGTGAACAATTGGGGTTTGGCAATGGTGGTGGAGATACTCTAGAGCAGAGGCAACATCAATGGCAATGTTTACTCTTTGGAGGTGACTTAAAATCCTCAGATCATCTTCCACACCATTTCCACCTGCATTTGGAAATGGATGCAACCAACTCTCCAAACTCCCATTAGGCATGAACTCATAGACCAGAGCCTTGAATTCATTTCCTTGAAAATCAACACTTGAGCAAGCAGTTAATAGCTTTACAAGATTGCGGTGCCGAGCATTGCTTAAAGTTTCACATTCAGCCATGAAGCTCTTTAAAGCTCCTGTTTGATGTAAATAGAGTACTTTCACTGCAACAACGGTTTCGTTTTGATCAAGAATTCCTCTGTAAACAGAGCCAAAGCTGCCTGTGCCAATTACATTTTCGGAAGAAAATCCATCAGTAGCTTTAAGGAGACTCGCATAGGTGACTTTTAGAAGCAAATCCTTCTCGATCGATAGAGGTACTGCAGGCTCTCTTTTCACCCTTCTTAATCGATTAACAATTAGAAGAGACATGATTAACACGAGCCCCAGCAGTCCAAAGAGTAATCCAATAATAAACTCGAGTCTTTGAGACATATTTCCTTTCTTTGAGTTACTATTGCTGCATGGTGACAACTTCAATTCTGGTATACCTCCACAAAGCTTCTTATTTCCCACAAAAGAAAATGCAGTTGCATTTTTGAAAACACCAGTGGTTGGCACAGCGCCCTCAAACTCATTAAAAGAAAAATTTAAAGTCACAAGGGAAAAGTGCTGAAGATATTCAGGAATTTGGCCTGATAAGTTGTTCCTTGAAAGATCCAAGTTCTGCAGTCCTCTCAGGGATCTAAAAGAATTTGGAATGGTTCCTTCAAACAAATTACCCTCCATGTAGAGGTGTTCCAAGGTTACACAACTGCCTAGTCCACTAGGAATTTCTCCAGACAAATGATTGTCTGAAACATCCAAGTAACCAAGATTTTTTAGATTGCTCACTTCAGAAGGCAACGTACCAATTAGTTGATTTTGAGCTAGGTTCAAGGATATTGTTAGAGAAGAAAGGCCTATAACATTCTTGGGTATAGTTCCATTAAGGCAATTTTGGGAAAGATCCAGGTCTTGCAAGGAATTAAGATTTTCAAAACTGGAAGGAATGCTCCCAGTAAATTTGTTCTTTTGCAGATGAAGCTTGTATAACTTGGGTATGTTGGCTATGGATGATGGAATATTCCCTGAAAACTGATTTTCAGATAAATCAAGCAGCCGTAGCAGCGTGAGGTTGCCGATGACTGTGGGAACGTTGCCTGTCAAGTTATTTTTCTGCATTGTTAGCTCAGTCAAGTTAACTAGGTTCTTGATCCCGGTAGGGATACTTCCCCATAACCGATTCCCTCCCAATCTCAATCGGACAAGTTCAGTTGAGAGATTACCAATAGAATTAGGAATAACCCCACCAAACTGGTCATAACTTAGATCCAATATCTGCAAATTTCTACATTTAGTCAAAGAATTCAAGAAATCTGGATCATCAGCTTCTTCTCTCCCTAAGGGATTAGAAGCAAGAACCAGCCACCAAAGACCTGGTAAGCCTCCAAAATCAATATTAACCTTCCCAGTGAAATTGCTCCCATTGATATCAAACTCGATGAGATTTGAAGCATTGGATAAAGATGCTGGAAGGGCTCCAGTAAATAGATTGTGACCAATATTCAGGATGCTCAAATTAGGAAGAGTGAAGCCCAAGTTTGATGGCAGAGTTCCATGGAGTTGATTGTATGGCAAAGTAAATGTGGTTATAGATGATAGGTTGTATATTGAGGGAGGAACAACACCAGTTAACTGATTCACGCCAAATCCAAGAAAATTTAATGTCTTTAACTGTCCCAGGGAATCTGGTATGCTTCCCTCCAAGCTGTTAACTGCAAAGGACAGAGACCTAACAGAAGAAAGGTTGCCTAACGAAGCTGGTATTGGTCCACTAAGATTGTTGTAGTGGAGCTGAACTCTCTCAAGCTTCTGCAATGACCCAAGCTGATATGGTATCTTTCCAATCAACTTGTTGAACCCCAAACGAAGCCAAATGAGGTTAGAACAGCCAGATAGATTGGCTGGGATCTCTCCTGAAAAGGAGTTGTTAGACAAATTCAAGTATCTGAGCCTACTTAGGCGGCCAACTTCTGGCGGAATTTCACCATGAAAGTGGTTCAGTTCAAGGCTGATACCTCTAAGAAAAGTGAGGTTTCCTACATAAGCAGAGAGAGAACCTACCAAGTTATAATGGCCAAGGTTCAAGGTGATTACTCTCTGACGCTGTTGATCGCAAATGACTCCAGTCCAGTTGCAGAAATGGAGAGAATCATTCCATGAGCTTGTTAACCCAAGTGGATCATGAGTTACTTGAGCTTTGATGGCGAATAAAGCTACCCTGTCTGTCTCATTTCCACTCAAAATGGTAGCTGCAACTACAGGAGAATGTGAATGCAGCCAAGTGATGATCCATGACAAAAGCAATGTATTGAACAGCAATAAGAAATTTGAAACTGGTTTCTTGTATAAAAGTGAAAACAACAGCAACATGATTGGTTTAGAAGGAGTCACAGGATAATTGGCGAAAATTTAAAAAAAAAAAAAAAAAAAACTACTCGCTTGAGTATGGAAAATCAGATTGCTATAAAAGGATGGCTGTATATTGAAGGACAAGCCATCGCCATTATTTATAGAACATTTGTCAGACCACAGAAGTTGCACGTTCTTATCTCCGTATTGACAATCTTACCAGCCACTGTCATAAAAAAAATTAATAAAAGAGAAAAGAAAAAAGGTTCTAATCCATTTTTCTCCCGCAAGTTGCAAATAGTACAGTTTATTCAGTACACAAGTCAATATCAACCAATGTATGATAAGAAATGATAGACAATGTGGAGAGAAAAAAATTCAATGACCATTGGGGATTTAATTATACGTTTTAAGTATTTTATATAGGACTACATCGAAGGTTGTCAAGAATAGAAAAACATTAGGCTAAGGATTTGGACCTCAACTTGAGTAATAATGAGATTTAGACATTAGAGGAAGAATAGGAGTGCTATGCCAACGACTATGACACCAAGAATTTAACAATAAAAATTTATCCTATGGTCAAATTTTTGGATCCTCAAGTACCCGAATCAGAAGTGTACACATATTGCAGGCTTCAATTTCTTCTTTTTTAAGTAGAAAACAAATCTTTAAGTTAACCGTCGTGAATAAATTGCATCAATATCAAACCCATGCTCTTCAAAAGGGCGGCCTATATAGTTGCTAAATAATGTGTAAAAAAAATTAAAAACATGACGAAATTGTGGAGGACCATCCTACTCCAATCTATTGTCAATAGATCCTAGATTATAATGACAAGTTCCGTTGGTTTATGGCACAGGGAGACCAAACCCACTAAAAAGTCTATTCTGATGGATTTGGATATTCAGGTACCAACAAACTACGCAGCTTTCTATGACTTAAGACCGAGTTAGAAGCCCAAGTTTGCTCTCTCTCAAAGTCTACAACCGTACAACGATATTCTAGTCAACGCCGATTATGGCGGTGGAAATTTCTTCGAATGTGTTGGAGTAAAGATGATCTCCACTCCCATGCTATTACAGTGATCCTAGAACTAGGCTCAAAGCCCAAATTGCATCAGACCAACCAGTCTCTTTCGGTAGCCCATAATAACAGACCCAAAGCTAGGGTCTGCTAACCGATTCTGGGTTGGACTGGCTTCAGTGAAGGCTTTCCAATAACCTAACCTGCTTCCCATGTTGTATACACCCAAAGCATTGCCACTATCTTTAAACCTCTTAAAATCTTTGTAAAAATTGTTGTTTCATAATATAGTATTCTTACAACAGTCCGGTTTCAAGAAAAAAGTTACTAGGAATTCCTTTAATAACCCTTTTTCAGTATCATTAGTTGTTGGAATGTTTTTTTTTTTCTTCGTTGTATCATCCTTCATATATAATTCAATTCAATCAAATGCGCCATTTTTATCATAGCATAACAATTAGTCCATTGGCAGACTCGAAATTTTACGCCTGCAACAGGATGAGAAGTAGCCCAACGTAAACCGAGTTAATAGGATCAGTTCAAAGTTAGCACTATACGACTTGCTCACAAGGCCCGATGCTAAATTCCATTAAAAAATCAGTCGAAGTTATGGCTTAATAATGAGTCTATATGGCTGGATTCATATTTTGCAACAAGATCCTCATTTATTACAAATTTAAAATGTTCCTACATTGCAACAAAGGCCATTCGTTTCTCAGCTAATTTCAGAAGAATATTGCTGCCTGCCAAACGAAAAAGAGTTGTGCGACACCGATTTGGACTGACTTCTACGATTCTGTTTAGATATTGATGGAGAATGAGAGATGCTATGTTAGGCGATTCCTTTCTGATTTTTTTTTTTTTTTCTGTTTCGTTTCTTCCTTACGTTCTATGCTGATTCGACATATCAGTTCAATATACTTGCCAATTTGTTTGACACAAGCAACATGATGTGAGATCCTTTAATAATCATGCATGCACCAGAAACCACATTAAAATATAGAGATGCTAAATTTGCGGGCACTTGATCGGTGCATCAGGGGAAGAAACTAGTTTTGATCATTGATAATGTGATATTTACAAACTAAATTGACCGTTTACAATATCTTAGAACAAGCTCTGCCTTCAAACATCCAACAAACAAGGAATAAATCGACAAAAATAACCAACTAAAAAGGCCATATTTTCACAAGGAAAATGAATCGAAAGCCTACTTTGTGTCAAGGACTCTGCTCTCTATGTTCTAATCACTATCACAGGTACTGTTATCTCATCTTACAACAACTCTAAGCCAAATAAGGAGGGAAAGCAAACTATGTTCTAAGTTATAGTTAAAAGTAAAAGATGAAACTCACTCCACCACAGCATATCATGCCCTCTTTTGAAATTAATATTGTTCTTCATGCACATTTGCTGGTATGGTTTAAAACGTTCTTGCCACTTCGAGAACTGCCTTTTCAATATCTTGTACGAGTCTAATTCCTGTGAGCCAAAGTTCATGACAGGAACACTAAACTTCACCTCAATGGGACACAGATCATCAAATAGTTCTAGCCCAACATTACCCAATGTGTCATTAGGATCAGCCTCTTTCTCATGCACTTTGGTAATTGTGGTAGTAAATTTCTCATCTCTATAAATATGGTTTCCCTGTTGTTGGCCAATGCTAGATGAGTCACCTTCAACTGGATGATATAAAGGGGATAGTTTTGGCCTTTGCGAGTCAACCCACATCTCATCTCTATCATCAGCAAGAGAGACAGATTTGATCATAGGTAAGCAAACTAGAATCTGATACGACCATTTCTGCAGCAACACATATTACTTCATTGCACCTAAGGCCAAGTTCTTCCTCCGATGAAAATTCACACATTTTCTCTGAATCAAGACAGCCATTACAAAATTCATGAAGTGCAAATAAAACAGGAAATGGAAGAACAGGACCATGAGCAAATCATCAGACCGCATTTTTTATGACCACTTTAGTGCTGCGGCATGAAGGCTCCCTTAATAGGTAAGAACTATAGAGGCAAATGAGGTACGTTTGGAACAACTGAAAATTCCAATGGCATTGTTTTGTTGTCAAAGGACACATCAAGTAACTCAGATTAGTTAGAGAAAGCCAGTAGTAAAAGTTCCAAAGGTAAGGTTGCCCACATTTGCCTCAAAGCAACTTCACAAACACTTGTTGGCAAGTTGATGTCATTGAAAACAATGGCAAGTGTAGGAGAAGACCTGAATTGACCAAAACCACAGACTTTCAACTTCTCACACAAAATTTTATGAAAGTCTAGAGTAAAAGACTCCTTCTCCAGAGGACCCTTGAAGGGCTTCTTCATCTTGGAATCTAGAAGTTTAGCAAGACTGGCATTCAAATACCCATAAAGATAGTCAAGGTTCAAATACTTGAATATTTTAGGAAAGTCATACACATCATCACACAAAGAGTATAGTAAGCTATCCTCAAAACTCAATGATGGTTCTATATGTGCTACCTCTAATTTCTGCACCAAATCCCAAAATATCGTTGAGCTTCAATCTTTCATGAAGACATTAGCCTAATCAAAGTAAACCCACCAAATCCATCTGACTCACACACCAACTCTGACAGATCCCTGTTCAAAATTCCAAAGCCCAAGACAATATCTTTCTTCTGCTACCAATCTATCTAGTCAGGAAGCACACCCTTTGAAAATTCTTCCCTAACAAGACAACTTCCACAATGACACTCTCAGCTTGACAACAAGAGATCTGAAGGAAGATCCCATGCCATAAAGGGTTTACAAAACTTTGAAATTCCATAGCAATGGATCCTTCACTGACCGAAGAAGGTCCATAACAAACTCACAATTCCATAATGACCCAATATTATGCAAAACCCTGATTCAGTTGCCCACTGATATATATCATCCCTTGATTGTGATCTCAATTCCGATAACCTCAATACATCAATATAGCATGGATTATCAAGATTATGAGCCCAATGCAACAATGGCATCATTGGCTTACACACATCACAAAGAACTAACAATCTATGGGAAACCAAAACAAACTGAAACCCATCAGCTCCTGCTCTAGAAATACCAGGAACCGATGCCCTTCTCCTACAGCATATGGACTCAACATCTCAACCTTAGCTAAAGAAATTACATCAAGCCTAAAATCAACTAAAAAGACAGCATCTGATCAGGCAACAATCAAAATCTTAGGATGCCAACTAAACTCAATATCCAACCATTGACAATTCTCTGAACCACTCAATTCATCCCTTAAAACTCTCAATTTACTCCCATTAATATAGCCATTGGGTCTTTGACAATTAACATCAGACTCTAAACCAAACAAAGAACAATGCAACATTCTCGAATAAAACCATATTTTCTTCAGGGAAATGCAGACTATAACATGCACAGACAATGATGGAATTCTTGAATAACTGACAACCTAAATAATCCAAGGCAGGGGTTTTGCTAGACTTAACAATTCTAAAAGAATACCAATGAACAGCATACAGAGGACAAGCCATTAAATACCCAACAACAGAATCACCTGAAATCCCCTCCAAATCATCAACTGGGTTCACTAAAATCCTCAATATTTTGTGATTGAAGTGGTTGTTAGAAATGAAAACGTCACCGTTCCGATCACCCAGAAACTTAAAATGGTTGTCTTGGACGTGAAAAACAAAGAAGCCAATTGGATGATGGTTGGAGACAGTTGTGAAGAAAAGAGCAATGTTTTGGTCGGGGCAGTGGAGAAGGTGGAGATGATTGTGTGATAAAAGGGAGAAGCGTCGTCATCATGGAAGGAATTGGGGCCGAAGAGGGAAGCAATAGAGTAAGGGACAAAAGAAGTGGAAGTGGAGGGGAATCGAGAGAAAGAAAGGCGAGGAGGAAGGAAAGGGAGAAGAGAAAAGGGTTTTGGGTTTTGGGACGAAGAAAAGAGGACCGAGCGAGGAAGAAGAAGAGAGGAGAAATGGAGGGTCTAAGGATTTGGCAATTGGAAAATAAGATTTCCAATCATCTGACAACTCCATTGTTTATTCCGGATGGGTTTTGGCGGAACTGAGTGGGAAGATTTTGCAGTGCCGTTTCCGCTTATGGCAATTTTTATTCAATAATTCAAATTTTCTATTTCTAAATTGTATCATTAATTCAATATAATAGTTTTCTTCGTTTTCGGAATGATATTTTTCACCAATGACTGGAAATTAGCAGATTATACATTGTAAATTAACAAATTATCTTTCAATAATTTTGTTTTTGAAGAATATCAGTACCCAATTAGGCATGGATGAAATGGAATTACGAATACCAAACTTCCAATAAAATGCAATTAGAACCAAAATAGTTGTACCAGAGGACATTATTTTTGTCATGGTATGGTATTGTTTCTTTTTCATTTTCATGTGTTTCAAAATTATTGATATTATATTTAATATTTTATTTATAAAATATACAACTATAAAAAAAAATTGAAAATGATGATGAATAAAATATTAAAAAATTTATTGAAAGAATAAAATAAATCAATAAATTTTATAAAATATATCATCTGCCAATCAGTACAAATCGTACTATAGAAATAATTGATACAAATCGATACAAGCCAAAATAATCAATTCTATTCGAACCAATCAATTCTATTAGAACCAATACGGATCGCCACAGCCAATATAAAAAACGAAACAAACGAGACGATACATATACCAATTTTCCTCAAAACCGAGTTTGGACTTGTGATTAGAACTCGTAATTTTGTCCGGTTAATTATAGCCTAAATTTGATTAACCATCAACTGATGAATAGGTCATAATTATCAGAATTATGTTACTAGATTGTTTTTTTTATGCAAATGTTTTGATTTTTTTTAAAACTTACTACTAATCACATAGAATTGAAATATGTTTTTGGATTGTTCTGCATAAATGTTATGCAAGAATGAGAAACGCTAGTTCCATGATAAATTTTAATTTTCTTCTTAACAATGGTATAAAATAGAATTCATCACGTCTGCTAGTGCCAAATATATTTGCACATTCTATTGCAAGAAAGAGTTGAACGATTGGATGATTGTGGCAAGAGGGAAATTTTAATCGTTGGATCAGGTGAAGAAACTTGTGTTGATCATAGATGACCCCCTATTACAAGATCTGAGGACAAGCTCCAACTTTGATCATACACAAAGCAGGAAATGACAGGGCAAAAAAAAACAAAAACAAAAAACTTAAGAACAGATCTATTCACCTCAGCATTACTTAATGACTCCAACCTCGCAAAAGTTGGAATGTGTAAATCTGCTATGCTAAATTTGTTTTGCCTCAAAACCATCTCATGGCTCTTCATGGAACAGGATGCTCATTTTTGGGTTGCCGGTGAGGATGATAGACTTCGTAATCGACGCAGAACTTCATCCTTTGAACGTTTGCTTGGCATAGATTCAGACAATCTGCAAATAGAAAAAACAAAAGTGAGGAAGTAAAACCTCCATTTCTCAAAGAATCAAGGCTCAAAAACAATTTCCCATCCTTTGATGCTAGTAGAAACTAGTAAGATATGAAAAGACAGCCCATTCAAGATTTAGATATGTTCCATTCAAAAGTGAGTCCAAGTTGGCAATTGATAGGTGAGAAACAAGGTAAGTTTCCACAATAATACCGAGTCACAGTCTGATGAAGCTTACAATAGCAGTTTTAACCGTATATAAAAAATGCAAATAAGTTTGTCCAATACCAGAAAACATTGCTCCAGAAGAAAAAAAAAAAAAAAAAAAGAAGGAACACCGAATGCATATACTATGGCTACGATGTAAAAGCCATGCAAACCATGAGGTATGAACAAAAACACCCAAAAAAAAAAAGGAGGTTCTACAAGTAAGATGGCATATGGGAAGTACATGCCCCTTGACCGTACTCAAATATAGCACTCATGACTCTGTCAGCAAATCCTACTTCCCATAAAATTTCAAGGGAAAGGGCCTAAATACATCCTTCAAAAATAAGAGAGACAAAAGAAGATACTATGTCCTACTTTCTAAGTCCCTTAACCTCAACCCCTTGTTATGTTACCTTGGTGAATTGGCACGCTTTTGCACTGGTTGATTTACTAGACTGGACGAATTACTCCCAGGTTCAACTTCAGCAACCTGAAATATATTCATCAATTAATATGCCAGTCGAAATATTAAATGCAACGGTTCCTGATCTTTCAGGAAAACAATAATAATTATTAAGACACCATTTTAAAACCTGATTTCAAGTGTGAAAAACCTTAGTCCTCCAATCCTGCCCCAAGCAGAATCAGAAATGAAATAAACATTCTCCACGCAAGTACATAAAACATAAATCAACTCATTTGGCTTCACAAACTCATTAACAGGATTGCTCATAACAATTCATTACCAGGTGACCTAAAAAACAGAAGATAGCATTCACTTTTAGCAAAACTATGTCCAGGATATCAACTTTTAAGAGAGGGAATAAATCACTGAAAGAATTGATTGTGAATACTTGGATAATGGGTAGAAACTAAGGACTGACACCAAGTCCTTACCTCTTAAAAGGATAGATTGAGCCAGTTAAGGCAGCAGTAGCAGACATGAAGCCAGCCCACTCTCCTTTCAGTGTTTTAGCTCTCACATCGTGGTGCAATGCAAAATCCAAAGAGGTGTGGCTTCTCTCCAGATAACCACTACCTCAAATCTGGAAATTTCTTGCCCAGATACCCTTTATCCAAGCATCACCTTTTTTTTTTAACAAAGAAATCAAATCAATGACCGAAAGCATCATCAGGAATCCCCACCTCAGAAGTATTATCTTTAGGTAAACCATCTTCTCTTAGAGCTTCATTTGATGTCGTATTCACGCCCCAAAGAAATCCATTTTCAGTTCCAAGAGAAAGCTTATTGAAATCTCTATCCACCGCTCCTGAATGAAGTGCTGTGTATGCTACATATTTTTCTGAGATATCATGTATAAAAATAGTCAGTTCCTGCACCTTTGCTTGATTCATAGTCGAGGAAAACACAAACAACCAGAAGAAGAGATAAGATCTTTATAATCTAATGATGCACCCCTATTATACCAAAAGCATATTATTCACCAATGTATGAGGTATATGTATATCCACGGCCCTAAAAAGCTCCAAAAAGAAATAAAAATTCTCAACTCCTTTCATCACAGCTAAAACTCTAATATTATGGAGAAACAACTCATTGGACATTTGAAAAAGTTAAAAAATGAATCCTCTCAAAGCCCAACGACCATATTCTAGTCATTCATGTTCAGACCAATCATATCCAAACCAAGGTGCATGCTTCCAGTCTTGAAACAAAGTAACTCCTATAATAACAAGAACAGCAACGAAAATAACCAGGACTACACTCACCTGCTAAATTATGAAGAGCAAGTTCAGCAGCTTGCTGCTGAGCATCCCTCCTTGTCTTGCCCATTCCAACACCAATCTTCTCACCAGTGAATAAAACCTAAATAAAATAAGCCAGCAAGATGAGCTGGTTTCTCAAAAGACATAAAACAAATTCACAAACTACAATCAGAGAGAGAAAAGGAAATGAGAGAACAAAGAGCATTCGTGCAAGCCAGCTTCAGGGAGAAATACATGTCAATACCCCCAAAAAACAAACAAAGCATTTTCACAATATAAGAAGACAGAAACACAGTTGAAAACTCAGATGAATCCAGAAGAAATCCATAGCAAGGAAATACAGCTTTCACTGACCTCAACAGAAAATTGCAAATCCTTACTGGTGCTTACCACAGACCTGAACTCAACCTGTAGAGTACAAATTTAAAAAACACTAAGTTGATTAAGCAAGCAATCAAGTTAAGTATCAATAAACTTGCACCTAAAGTAATGGTACCTTTGAACCACATCTTCGTCCAATTTCTTGTAGAACACCTATTGACAAATGCGAGGGTAGAAGATTCAATTTTTCACCTTCAGACTGCAATTCTTTTCTAATAGAAGCCACATGATTCTGAGTCCCACCAATCTCTGCAAGAGAATTCAAACAATCATTTATTGAAGTTAGTAACCAGTCCTCTAAAACAGTCTTTACTCCATATAATAATAACAATGCATGTGCATTCCAAATCTTGGAACCATGTTCTTCTCCCACAGTATCTAAATTAATGTAACGATCCAAAAAAGGCCAACTCAACTTTTCCATTCCATGTTATTTTTCATTTGTATGTGTTAAAGTGGGTTATCCCACATCTAATAAATATCTAATTTCCTATAGTCTTATATTCAGGTTGGGCCCCTCCACTTAAAGCTAATTGGTTTTAAGTTGAATGCTTAAGATGGTATCAAAGCCAAAATTTCCTTTTGTTGCCCTTTCCTATTCTATCACATAGTAAGCTTCTTCCATCTTTGCCTACAAGTGATAGGGGCCTATTAAAGTGGGTTATCCCACATCTAATAAAAATCCAAATTCCTGTAGTCTTACATTCAAGTTGAGCCCATCCACTTACCTCCAATTGGTTTTAGGTTGGATGCTTAACATGTGAAAATCTAATCTTCATTATTAGTTGATTGATTGACTTTATTTATTTTAGTTAAGTTTCTTATTTTTAGAATAAGGAATGATTTGGCTAATTACACCAAATCCATTAGATATTTTCCTATTATGTGTAGAGAGTAAATTACGCATTTGATTAACTGTTTTAATGAATGAAAATCTTGGGTTTTAAGGCTGAGAATATTTAGTCTTTAGCCTATATATTTTCATGCAATTCTAGTATTGTAATAAGAAAAATATGGAAAAATAAAATAGTTTTATTCTAGAGATTTCTTCATGGTATCAGAGCACAATCTAAACCTTTGAAAATTTTCACTCAAAGTCCAACATGGCCAACAAAAGGGAGAGCCTAGCCTTAGAGGTTACCTCTAACCCTAGAGCTAGCATTATTAGAACAGGTTCTTTAGCACAAAAAGGTAATTTTTTAAGCATTTTAAGTGTAAAACTAGAGAAATCAAATTCATGGATTGTGGATTCAAGAGCTTCAGACCATATGACTGGGGATGCATCTATATTCAGTAAATACAACACATATTATGAAAACTTCACAATTCGAATTGCTGATGGGTCGCTTTCAAAAGTGGCTGATACAGGTTCTATTATTATTTCCAAAGAGGTAATACTTGATTTGCAAATCACTAAATGTCTTCCAAATATGTGTGAATTTCAAGATTTGGACTCAAGGAAGATGATTGGCAATACTAAGATGTGTGCAGGACTCTATATCCTAAAAGCTAATGATTCTAAAAGACAATATCAGAAGACCTCTTTTGTGCCTTCATCCTCTAATAATAATAACAATAGTACTATCATCTTGTGGCACTATCGGTTAGGTCATCCAAACTTTTTGCACCTCGAAAGGTTGTTTCCCTCATTATTCAATAAATCCTAACAACTTTCGGTATAAAGTCTACCAACTATCTAAACATACCCGTACCACATATCCTAATTAGCCTTACAAATCATCCCATCCTTTTTCAATGATACACAATGACATTTGATGTCCCTCCAGAGCAAATAACATTACAGGTTCTAAATGGTTTGTCACATTTATTGATGATCACACCAGGGTTACTTGGGTATTCCTTATGAAGGAAAAATTAGAAGTGGGCCAGCTATTCCAAAACTTCAACAATATGATCCAAACTCAATTCAAAATCAAAATCTAAGTGTTGAGAACCGACAATGGGAGAGAATACTACAATTTAATCCTTGGATCATATCTAATAAAGCATGGTATAATTCATCAAAGCTCATGTGTCAATACTCCTCAGCAGAATGGTGTTGCTGAAAGAAAGAATCGACATTTGTTGGAAGTTGCGAGATCCCTCATGATGGCTGCCCATGTACCTAAGTATTTTTGGGGTCAAGTTGTTCTTACCGCTACATATCTTATAAACAGAATGCCTTCTCGAATCCTGAAATTCCAAACCCCTTGCCAATCTCTTCTTAGTTCATATCCTTACCTTCTAATCATCTTGTCTATTCCCATTAAAGTGCTTAGATGCATTGCATTTGTTCTTACCAACCAACAAAACCAAAGCAAATTAGATCCCAAATCCATCAAATGCATATTTCTCAAACACTCCCCGAATCAAAAAAGATACAAGTGTTACTCACCAGTAACAAAGAAATTCTATCATTCCATGAATATTACCTTTTTTGAAAATCAACCTTACTTTCCCAAAACTACCATTCAGGGGGAGAATCCAATCACACGGGAATATCAACTTTGGGAAAATCCTATTACCGAACCACCAAACACTTTTCCAACTCTCTTTCAAATCCAAAACATCCAACCAGATCCTCCAAGCCCAAAGTCCACACAAAAAAAACAAACAAAGAATTGATTGTCTATTCAAGAACACGTTAAACTCAAAAAGATCTAGGAGAATCTACACCTTTAAAGCAAAACCAAGAATCTAAACCGATTCCAAAGATACTTGAAAGCAACATAGGTAACACTTTTACCGACTCTGATTCAATTGAATCTTTTGATGATCTTGATCAACCGATTGCTTTAAAGAAAGGTGTGAGATCATGTACTCAACACCCAATCTGTAATGTAGTTTCTTATGAAGGTTTATCACCTAGTTATCGGGCTTTTGTTAGCACACTAAACAATATGCAGATTCCTAATAATATTCATGAAGCACTCATGCAACCAAAATGGAAGACAGCTGTTTTGGAAAAAATCAGTGCCCTAGAAAAGAACAAAAAATGGGAGATTTAAGAATTACCCAAAGGGGAAAAACTAGTTGGGTGCAAATGGAATTTTACTGTCAAGCACAATGCAAATGGAAGTATTAATAGATTCAAAGCTCGCCTGGTTGCAAAAGGATTTACTCAATCTTATGGTGTTGACTATGAGGAGACATTTGCTCTGATTGCTAAACTTAATTCAATCTGGGTGTATTATCATTGGCAGCAAATCTAGATTGGCCACTCCACCAACAAGATGTCAAAAATGCATTTCTTAATGGCGACCTAGAAGAAAAAGTTTACATGGAAATCCCTCCAGGATTCAAAAACCAAGACAATTCTGGCAAGATATGTAAACTTCAAAAGTCTTTAAATGGTCTCAAACAATCCCCACGTGCATGGTTTGATAGACTAACAAAAATGGTAAAGAAGTATGATTTTTCACAACGCCAAACCGATCACACCATGTTTGTCAAACATTCACCTAAAGGAAAAACAGCCATTCTTATTGCCTATGTCAATGACATTATTCTTACTAGAGACTAAGTGGAAGAAATTAGCAACCTAAAGAACCTCCTAGCCAAAGAATTTGAAATAAAAGATTTGGGACACCTAAAATATTTTTTTGGCAGGGAGGTTTGCTCAAGGAATGGCATCTCTATTTCACAACATAAGTATGTCCTAGACTTACTAAAGGAAACTGGAATACTTGGATGCAAACCTGCTTACACCCCTATAGACACAATGAATAAGGTAGGAATGGAAAAAGGAAGTCCACCAACAGATAACGGCAGATATCAAAGACTTGTAAGGACACTCATCTACCTTTCTCATACAAGACCAGACATCAGTTTTTGGTTGCTAGGGGAGTTAAAAGTTTTTGCAAAAGAATCCATGAAGATATTCTATGACAACAAAGTTGCCATAAGTATAGCAAAAAATCCTGTTCATCATGATAGGACTAAACATGTGGAGATTGATCATCACTTCATCAAATAGAAGATAGAGGAAGGAATTGTTAGATTAGTTTATACTCCCACATGCCTCCAAACTGCAAACCTACTAAAGCTCTCTCTCGAAACAACTTTGAGAATCTGAAGTCCAAGCTGGGTATGATTGACATCTACCACCCACCTTGAAGGGGGGTGTGGAAATCTAATCTTCATTATTACTTGATTGATTGACTTTATCTATTTTAGTTAAGTATCTTAATTTTAGAATAAAGAGTGATTACACCAAATCCATTAGATATTTTCCTATTATGTGTAGAGAGTAAATTACTCATTTGATTAGCTGTTTTAATGCATGAAAATCTTTGGTTTTAAGGCTGAGAAAATTCAGTCTTTAGCCTTTATATTTTCATGCAATTCGAGTATTGTAATAAGAAAAACATAGAAAAATAAAATAGTTTTATTCTAGAGATTTCTTCAGCATGTGCCTTTATTTTTTTCATTTGTACGTGTCTATACTCCATAACTGATGCATATCAGTTCTGATTATTCAATATTCAAACTACTTGACCAAGTAATAGATTCACAAGACCACAAGCCTGCTTTCAAAAGCATATCAATATCATGCAACAACTGCCTGACACAAAAGAGATGGACTAAGAGTAATAGCTTCACATACCTGAAACATGAGTTGCAGGCGGAACATTCTGTTTTGGTGTATCAACTCCAGGACATGCCTGAAGAACACAAGATAAAACAAGATATCACTTAGGATGCACACAGGTTATATGCGACAAATCTAAAGGAATATTGAACAAACCTCTTCAACCTTCACTTGGGATGCATGTGTCTGTAAACCAGTGGAAACAGAACCTGGTGCAGTATGAGAAAATGGATTCTCATAACCTCGCAGTTTATCAGATTTTGTTGAATCAGATTCCTGCACAGAGCCTGATGATTGATCATTTAGATGTGCTTTATTGATGTCTTCTTCCACCAACCAACCTCCCTGAGGCAATACAGATGATGAAGATGTCTGTACTGGTAATTTAGCTAGGAGTGGAGGTTGGATCAAGCCCTGATTCCTCAAGTCTAAACCCTGTTTTGTGCCAAGGGCTCTTCTCTTCATGTCATAGTCACTATCACTACTGTTATCTGTTCTTACAGAAGCTCCAAGCAACATAGGATTTGAAAGCAGACCAGCAGCTCCAAGTAAATTAGGTCCTAAGATGCAGTTAAAAAAAAAAAATGTCGAATACACTCCAACCCAGCATATCATGCCAAATATTCAAAATAAAATATATTAAAATGGAACCCTACCCTGAGAAGGCAATGGTGTTATTGAAGATGCAGGACCAACATCATTTGTAACAGGAGGCTGAGAGGTTTCCGACCTCAACTCAGGGTTATTTGTTACCGGATGAGTGTAAGAGTCCAAAACATGCTTCTCCTCCTGAATAAACTATAGATATTATTCAATAATGAAAATTAAGGAAAACACATAATTCAAAAATAATAAAAATTCCAAAAGGACACATGCACATCAATAGAAGCAACCAAAAAGATTGACCTTATCCAAAAGGATGACAAATTGCGACATAACATACACACATATATAGTTTATCACCTTTTCTAGAGCATGTGTTCAATAACAATTTCATCCTAACTGACCAAGGTCCATGAAAAATTTATATTCATTCACCATGTAATTACCCAAAACTTACTAATTGGTTCGTTCTGTGCTCAACTTCAACTCCATTCATTCCTTCACTGATAGGAGCACCACTGTTCCCATTTGGAGCAAAACCAGCATCCTGCAAATTAGTTACCTCTGACATCAAATAGCTACTCACATCAGGGGCAAGAGGCAGATTTACCACCTCATCTTCGTAAAAAACTTCAGATATTTTCCGTAATACATTCTCATCAAACTCTCTGCATAAAAGGTACCATCAGAAGTTAGAAACGCAAACATGAGAGGATGATGAGGAGGGATAGCCATCTACAAAGATTTGACCACACAAAATTAACGGCTTACTTGAAAAACAAACCCCTAACATTGCATGCAACATTTCTTGCTACGCAGAGGACTGGGACTGCATTTGCTGTCTAATAGAGGGGGACAAAATTTGCCCAAAAAATCAGAAAAAGAAAACCATATCTCAATAAGTTGGCTTACAAACAGGCATAACTTGTACCTCTGCCTGAGGAGCATAATATGGAGCAAACGGAGGAACTACATGAACTCGAGGTTGATCCTTATCCTCCCAGACCTTTGAACGGTCATCAATGACCATGGCCATCTGTGGATGACACTTGCCATCTTGGAACACATTTAGCAAAGATTTCCTGAAACCTGCAAAAATCATTAAAAAAAAAAAACAAAAGGACATTACAATTTTGCTAAGGTATATGGCAAGGTGGAGTACTGGAACGAAAGGGGGACAACCAACCACTACAGGCTCATTGTTTGAACCATCAGTGTTCAAATATGCTAATAGAAAATTAAGAATCAGCAACTTAGATTCAACAAAATAGCAGAATTACTTTCTGAAGTTTCATCTTCAGAAAGATAAGGCATCAAGACCCAAGTACAAAAGAAGAGATTTAAAATTGTTATAGACTTGCCAGATTTGACACAAACAACTCGGTCCAGTAGTTGCTTTGAACCTATCAGGTGTGCCTCTGGATCAAGAAGCCTCCACATCTCTAATGCATAATCTCTTTCAGCCATAGTACAAACATATACTTCAAAGCGTTTTCGTCCTTTCGCAGTCAAATAGCTTCTCAATTCCTCCCATGCAGGACGTAACCTCACAAGCACACTGGTATCACGAATCTGAACAAAGAAAACCATTCATAAATGAGAAAACATATGCAGCTTCATATTCTAAACAGATTCCATCTATTCATCCAATGCTCTAAGTACTTATCATAATGCCCATATCACGGAATATAATCAGATCAGTAAATTCCATATGAAACTCTTAAGTCTTAAGTTACAACATAAATCCAGGTTTATTTTGATCATTAAAAATGTCACACAGAGGCAGCGCTTCTTTGTCCAAACTTCTAAAACAACCAATGAAATCAAGTTGAAATATGGTTATCTTATGTTTCAATGAACAATCTTTGTAGATAGGAACATATAACGAACAGGAATCCACCAATATAAAAACAACTAAATCAACAAAATGCATCGTGTCAAGAATTGTTTCTCTAACCTCCGGATTGATACGAGTAAGGACAATATTTCTCTCTTGCAACCTAATCACAGGCCGAACAACTTTCTCATGGCCATCAGACAAAGGAGGAACCTCTTCCATTTGAACTTTAAATACTTTTCCATTATCAACGACGCAATCACTCTCCGTGTACTGCTTCAAGAGCAACCGGTCATCCATATACCTTCTTAATTCAGCTGACATCACCGAAAAACGAATTGAATCAGTCTCCCGCGCAATCCAACCCCTAAGAGCTTCGATTCTATCCTCAAACGACTTCATTGTGTTGGCAACAATTAGAGTTTCGTCAAGATCGAAAACAATTGCGAGACACCTTAAATTAAGCATCCCTAAACAGGAATTGTACAGTCCTTTAGGAACCGAAAAGCACCAAAAGCAAGGGAACTTCTTTTGTTTACTCGGCATTGCCACCAAGTGAAACTCCTCATCTCCAACCAAAACCACCGCCGTCTGAAAAGAAAATAGTAAAAATTAATTAATTAATTAATTAAAATATTGAGTAGAAAACGAGAGAAATTTAAGGAAACCTTAAATTCGTAGAAGCAAGAGGCGTGGAGGTGAATCAAATACTGTTGTTCGACTGTAGAAGAGGATTCGAGCTTGCAACGAACGGTAAATGAGGAAATCGTATGGAGAATGGAAAGAGGAATACATCGTTCGCTGGTGGGGGAGATGCGGTGGATTCGAATTTCGTTGTTTGGGAATTGGAAATTCGTATCAGATACAGGGATAGTGTCCAGTACTCCCAAACAAATCTCTCCATGATAGACCACCGATTTAAACCCTAAACGACTCATTAAAAAAATCCACTTTGACTCGATAATAAAGAGAAAGAAATTTTCAATAGAGGGTAAAACAGTAAATGTGCGGAGATTTGAGGGCGAAAGAGGATTCCGTGAAGTGAACTTTGTTTTTTTCCCTCTCCCTTCTCTTACTCTCTCTCTCTCTCCTTTCCTTGCTGGGCTTTCTCTCCCTGCCTCCCTGATTCTAACCTACGGATTTTGTGTAAAATAAGGGGTGGGCTTCTGCATTTATAGGGGAAAAGATGTCCTTGTTTAAATAGGCATGGGCTTTAGATTAAATTGCGAAAATACCTGGATGTACGGTCCACTCCCTTAGTATTCCCTTTGGCCAGCGAAAAGGCGAATGTAGTAAAATCATGATGATTAAGTTCCTAAGTGTTTAGAGCGAAGGTGGGACCGCCTTGTACACGTGGCATACAATGTGACTTGTGATTTTGGATATCGTGTTTACACCGTTGATCTCCGTGGTTTAGCCATATTTGAAATGCTAGTAAATATTACAGTACTACTCTAAGTACTAAAATTCGTTAAAAAAATTTTCCAAATATTTTAGCTCCATTTAGTTAGAACTTAGAACCTAACTTCAGTGTAATAATAACTATCATTAATTTTATTATATATTATTTTACATCAATGATAATTTTTTTTATCATTTTAGATAAATATTAAACCGTAGCCTAAGTAATTTAATTACTTTTGATAGTTTTATATCACTAAATTCTTACTAAATATGATGATGTAATTATTATATATAAATCATAATTTATTGAGATTATAACATCATACCAAAGACTTGTTGAAACTTGATGAAACGGGTAACTTGCATAGGCTTTAGAGGTGAAAATCAAGAGTTCAACTCGCCACTAACTACTTTTTACATTTATCTTGCATCATATCTTATTTAGCATAGATGTTCACTTTATAGAAAAATCAAAAGAATGACAAATGTTCTGCATTTACCATATTTATTGATTTAAGGATTATGGTTTTAATGTTAGAATATTATTTGATTTCTTTCTTTGATTATCTCATTTATATAGAAATAATTTTGACTTAAGTATGTGAAGTAGAGTTTGAGTTTGAGATCATAAATTTTAATGTCTTAGCGTCATCTCTTTGTTCCAAAAAAGATTTGATATGTCATCAAGTTTGGAAGATCTCTTACTTCTCAATTTTTGTATACAATCTTAAGAATCAAAATTAAGACTTACTATTATATCTAAGAAAATGAAGGCTTATTACTTGGTTTGGGTACAATACATATGTAATTTTTTAAAATAAAAGGCTATATACAAATAAAAATAAATCAAATATAGAATTATAGATATCAAAATATGTAATTTTCAAAAAAAAAAAAAAGAGGCATATACAAATAAAAATAAATCAAATATAGAATTTATAGATACCAATTTATAAAGCATAAAATCACTTCATCTCTAAGATAAGCACTAACTTTGATCATACCATTCAAAAGTGTAAGATACAAGTAATGTATAGTTCAATACATATAAAACGTAAATTTATTTTAATTTACACATTTAAAAAGTTTAAATTAAACTTTTATAAGAATACAATGAATATATTTATAAGATAGAATTAGAGTGTTACGAATTAAGTAAAATTAATTGATTGTCAAGTTTAAATTTCGTTTACTTTGAAAATTTTGAAATTTAAAATTTAATTTAATTTAAATTTATTTTATTTTTAATAGTTAAATTTAATTAGATTAAATTTAATAAAATTAAAGATATAAATATTAAATATTATATTTTTATTATTTATTAAATATATTAAATATATTTTAAAAATAAAAAATTCAAATAATCATATAAGTCATTCAAAATTAAAGATTAAAGTAGTTAAACTCGATTTTACTCATTAATTGAATAACTTAAACTCAAGCCTATCTCGATAATCAACAGGGAAAGATGATAGGTGTTTTCTTTTGGGATCAATGGGAGGCTGAGAGTTTATACTGTTAAGTACAACAATTACATGAAATAATACAAAGGGTTTCATTAAGATTTTATTTGATAGAAAAAAATAAAAAAGATGAAAATAAAAATTTTATTAATTTAAATTATTAAAATTCATAATTATTTTTTTATTTTATAACTTAAATATTAAATTAATAAATTTTGCATCATCACTTCTTTCATCCTTCCTGTCAACCAAGATGCGCGAATTGGGAGCCTTCGGAGCCAAGGATTAGCTCACGCTGCATCGCACCATGAAGCAGAGGCTTCTCCGCTTGGCACGCATTTGATGAACATTCGAGACAGTGGCCCGTGGGGACACAAGTCAAGCAAATAGTGGCGCTCTATCAAACCAGAAAAACATTCAAAGCTTTCGACTCCAGAGTAATTAAATACTTGGCAACATATGATTCATTCAAATGAAGTTCCATCCAGTTGTTCGCCATCTGGCAACTCTTTCGTCAACTCGAATGCACGGTATTATATCATCTGAGATTCCATTCTGTTGACTGATGCAATTTTAATTTTTACAAGAGGCCACGAAGAAGCAAATTCAGAGAAAGAGAGGGCGGAACCGAAGCGATCGGTTAGGGCCGGTGAGAGAGAAGCCTTTAAAACGATGTCGTCTCGTCCTTTCGACGACGATGGCTACATAGGCTATGACCCTCGCCTCGCTTCCCAGCGATTCGAGTCGTACTCTAACTTCGATGCCAACTCGGTCAAGGACTCAGTTCCTGATTCCCCTCCGATATTCAGCAATCAATCTTACGGTAGCGGAGATGACGTGTTTGTTTCTGAATCGATGCCGGATACACTTTCTTCACCGCCGGTCTACGGTAGCGATGGCGGATACTCGGCTTTCTCACCGGAGCAGAACGGGAAGGGATTTAGCCAAGAGTTTGGAGGATCAGATGGACCGATCTTGCCACCGCCTGCAGAGATGGAGCCCGAGGAAGGCGCTGCTTTGAGAGAGTGGCGCAGGTAAGCTTACGACTACGAGTAACTTAGTAGTTAGTTGAACTTCATTTCTGTTGATTGACACTCAAAGTTGATTAATCAAAATTTGAGAAATATTGACCAAATATCGATAAAGTGTCTGGAAGTTAACTTGTGATGATCTAACGGCTGAGATTGAATTTATGAATTCGCAGACAGAACGCGATTCAGCTAGAGGAGAAGGACAAGAAAGAGAAGGAGATGTTGGAGCTAATAATAAAGGAAGCAGAGGAATACAAAGTTGAATTCTATAGGAAAAGAGTTACAGCTGTTGAAAATAACAAAGCCTCCAACAGGGAGAAGGAGAAGGTGATGGATCGATCAATCACAATTTCTTCTATTGTTTTATGCTATTGAAATGGACTACTATATATTTTTTCCCATCACTTTCATATTGTGAAAAATTGGTGTTGGAATTCTAGTAGTTGCAAAATTTATGTTCTATTAAACAGTCAATTTTGTGATTGAATGGTTAGGGGCAAGGGATACATCATGTATGATTAATTCAGTTATATTTGTAGGCATTTAAGCAGGTTTTTGCACTTATGTGAACATTGGAGAAAGATTCTTATGGATTTTATTAATGAGTTTATGAGCTTCATTTCCTAAGAAAATAAAGGTAATAATATCATGGTGGTGGTCCTGCTCCACTATTAATTTATAATGGAGCTGCTTCTGAAGTCATTGGGATGAAGAGTGTCGATGGTGTATGCATATGTTACCTTAAAGTTGACATGAATTTATAATGTGTCTCATTATCCTACAAGGTGGAGTTGGTGAAATTGCTTTAGAATTGACTAAGTTGGAGATTATTGTATAATTCATTCTTCTTGGTTGTAGACTTGTCATGGTATATTGGGTCCAAATATGTTAACATGCATAAGTTCTGATAACAAATAAATGATATGTGTAATTGCTGTTTAGCTCGACTTTGAAAGAAAAGGTGCAGGGCAATGATCATGGTCAGTTCATATTGTGGGACAGTTTAATGTTGCTCTTTCTGTTGCTAGTGTCAAGCCAATGACTCATGTTTAGATTTTATATTTTGGTTCATAAGTGACAGTTATTTTTGGAAAACCGGGAGAAGTTCCATGCTGAAGCTGAGAAAAATTACTGGAAGGCAATTGCAGAACTGATACCCCATGAAGTGCCAGCTATAGAAAAGAAGGGAAAGAAGGACAAAGAAAAGAAACCTTCCATTGTTGTGATCCAGGGACCTAAGCCGGGGAAGCCAACTGATCTCTCAAGGATGCGTCAGATACTTGTGAAGCTAAAGCACAATCCCCCTCCGCACATGAAGCCCAAACCTCCACCACCAGCAGAAGCCAAGAAAGATGCTAAAACTGGTACTCCTGCTGCCTCTGGTCCCTCTGGTGCCCCAGGTTCTGGTTCCAGTACTCCTCCCCCTAAGTCAACAGCTGCAACTACTCCGGAGACTGTTGCATCTGCTTGAGATGCAGCTGCTGAGTTCTGGATCCGAGTATCCATTTGACAAGTAATTAGTGTGATTGTAATACAATTAGTTTGTATCATCCTTTGCTTTTTGTTTGAAGGTTTCTATGGGCATCTCAAATTAGGCATCTAGCAGTTGTGTAGAAATTTTGGTTGTCCATGTTTTGTGTGGTTTGTCTTTGTGAATCGAACTTTTTGTTCTTTGGCTTGTACATAGCTTGTCTAGTTATCTTCTTCTTGCCTTTAGACCTTTCTCTCTGTTTCAAAGGGAATATCGTAGTCTTATTAGTCTGGTGTGGCCATAATGCTTTCCATGGAGGTTATAAGTTGAGCTACTGTTCCTTCCGTCGGGTGCAGAACTTCTTCCCCCCCACCCCTCTGCCACAACGACATTGAAAAACAGTACCCGGAAATGGAAATTACTAGTTTTTAAGCCAGTGGGCTCGAATATGCTCCTTCCCATGCTCAACCAGATAGCCTCCTTGTTCATTTATGGTATATCTTCGCCGAGCCCGGACTAGTTTCAAATTCTCTTTGCATCTTTTTAACTTGTTCAAATTGGAAAAAAAATAAAAGAAAACAAAATAATAAAATTTCCCGATTAGCACTTGCCTTGATGAGTGATGACCAATTTTGGATACACTAATTTCTCATTAATTACACAAATCACGAATGGGTGCTATGGACATGGAATCAATACCTTTGAACTTCTGGTCACTACCTGCTGGGATTCCTGAGATAATTACACATCACTGAACAAAACACCGAGGAGGATTTGAAGAAAAAAAAACAAAAAAGGAAAAGAAAATCAATGACTAGCAATGATTTTACCAACTATCATCTCATTTAATCAAATCGAATGGTAAGCAATAGAATGTTGTAAGTAAGACCAAGATCAGACAACAGTGAATGCATCATCTTGGAAGCATCTGTATCATACCGTGAGAGCTAAAAATGTTGGTTGAGGAAGAAGGATCAACCGATTGCTTGCCTTTGGTCTTCAAAGACGATGATGTCTCTGAACTACCAACCCCCAAGTGAGGAGAGGTGTGCCCCTTATAAACGCCTGGCTCGGTTAGCACCTTCTCATTAAGGTGCACATCTTTAGAAAGCATTTGCACCACTTGCTTCATAGTAGGTCTTTGGTGTGCAGCTGCTTGTGTGCAAAAGAGGGCAACCTTGATGAACCGCATCACCTCATCTTCTGGATATCGGGTCAGTTCTGGATCAACAATATCTAGAAGCCTTTCTTCTTCTTTGAGTTTCCACGTCTGCAACAGCATTCCGGTTTCCGTCAGCATCAATGAATTTTCTTCCAGGTACATCTTTGTATGAATCACTTATGTGAGATGTCAAAAACATTAATTATATCAAGTTTGATTCAGGTTCCATTCCCTAGGGGAAAGGAATTGTTCACACTTGGTCTGGCAAACCTTCTCAATGTCTTGTATTGCAGCAGTTGGCAGTTAAGTAATCCAACTAGTTACTACCATTTTTGTTTCTCCTCCTATGCCTTACTACAAATTAAACAAGCATATGAAAAGCTAAGATAAACTGATGTAACTGGTGAAAAAAAAAAGGTTTGAAAGATACCCATTCAACCAGAAGCATTAATTCCGCTCCAAATCCTGCCTTACTACTACTTCTACCACTAACTATTTCAAGCAAGAGCACCCCAAAGCTGTATACATCTGCCTTCATGGTTAGCTGTCCTAAAAGGGCATACTCCGGGGCCAAATATCCACTGCCGAAATATAAGATTACAAGTGAGATACCAAATAGAGAGCAATAGAAGAAAATACACCAATGCAAAGGAAAAACAAACTACTACCACATGAAAGAATGTCATGAGGAAGAGTCCTTGTTTGCATGAATTTAATCTAAAACAATGGCTTAGGCATGTCATCATACAATTACATTTTTTTTTACTCTGATTTCCTGAATCATGAACAAATATATCAGGGGAATGCTGAACTGTACTTAATCTGCCAAAAGGTCTTTAGTCAGCCATCTTCAAATGACCAAATCTTGTTTCTCTGCATGCTTAGGTGGTAGCATGGGTTATCCAGTACATTCTTTTTCCCCTTTCAAATATGGTAAAATTTATGATTTAATTATGTTCCTACTGATGCAAGCAGAGTCCCCTTTCTGAAAGCTTTGCTGTGAATCATAAGTACATATCTTTTACTATTTTTTCCTTTGCTAACCTCGGAAGCTGAAACAGAAAATTTACAGATGCTAAAAGAATGGGTTTTAAGAGGTATTACTTGTTCAAAAATCATAGCTAAAAGCCTAAACAAGACTTCCTCAATGAATTTTGAAATAGTTAAATAGCTTAGGCAACCTCATTCAAAGGATGAAATGCAATGAAAATCATGCTTACACTGTTCCAGCTACTGCAGTGCTGATATGAGTGACATTGTCCGGGAAAAGCTTAGCTAGCCCGAAATCCCCAATTTTAGGATGAAAATTTCCATCAAGAAGTATATTACTAGCTTTAATATCCCTGTGGACAATATGTGGTACCGCTTCATAATGAAGAAATGCAAGACCAGAAGCTGTACCTAAGCAAATAGCAGCTCTCGTAGGCCAATCCAGAGCAATATATTTACTTCTCGGACCTGAAATTATGATTGCTGGGCATTAGCCTTAGCATACCCTGACAGCTTGAAAAGCTATACATAACTTTTGTCTCTCAAGTGTAATGCATTGGATAGACATAAGTCATATATGTAATGCACAAAACCAAAAGTATATTTCAGTTCTATAACTGCAAAAAAAATGTTAAAAGGTGAGGGAAGGATTCCGGGGGGGGGTAATTAATCTTAATAATAATCTATATTCTTGAGGGAGGAGTTCAAATGAACAGGAACTGAACACAACTTGGATCAAATAATAAAATGATGTATCTCCATAAATCTAAATTCATTTTAAGTAATATAAAAAGGCGTAGGATTTGTGAAGTTACTGAGTAGAACACTGGCAAGGCTGTTATTCTCCAGATATTCATAAACTAAGACCCGATGATTGTCATCAACGCAACAACCAATTAGTTCAACAAGGTTTGGATGTCGTATGTTTGATATCATATCAATCTCTGTCACAAATTCACGCAATCCTTGCTTAGACTCTGCAGAGAGAGTCTTAATGGCTGCCGGAGTACCGTCCCTCAAAACTCCCTGCAATCACAAAAAGCAAACTTGTGTTAGTATTTCCTACCATTCTAAAATGACATTAATATAGGACACAAGAAAACATGCTCTCTCTCTCTCACACTTGCATATACACATGGAAAAACACCCAGCAGACATGGATGCTCTTTTCCAAAAGAATGAAGTACCTACTGTAAAGACATCTGAAGAAAAGAATGGGCATTTTCTTTACCCTATAGACAACTCCAAAACCACCTCCACCGATCCTGTTTGACGGATGGAAATCTGATGTTGCTGATCTCAACGAATTATAAGAAAAGAGCCTTATATTGTCGGTGGCAAACTCTACCCATGCACAAATACAAAAAACACGCAAGCACATGAGAACATTCTGAGAACATTAATAGAAAAACATCCAGTAGAAGATTGAAAGAGAACCATCTCACAGCATCCTGTGTTTTAAACATAAAAAATTAAACCCGAAAACTACAAGAATCGTTAGAGAAATAAATGAAAGAGAAAAATGCAAGGAATCATTACAGAAAAACGAATGAATCTAACATTGCACATTTTTAGTGCATTATAAGAAGAAAAGGGAGGGTATCAACGAAACAATCCAACATAGACTTTCTCAAAAGTTCTTTATTCTTCAATATTTTTAGTCTATCGGATACTCATTCTAACTCTATTCATTTTTCACTCACATATGAAAAATCTGGCTATTGTTTGGCCTATCAGCCTGCTCTTTCCTATGTAATTCTTTTACAGAAACAAGCGAAAGGTCCAAAATGAATGCTAGTAATAGGTGTTTCAAAGATATACCAAAAGAAGCCAAAAAAAAAAACTATAAATTCACACAATTTCACTACCAAGCAGAACCGCATTTCCTTTCCAGGCATTTACAATTACAACCTGCATAGCCTGTACATGTTCAACTTTTAAAAGTAATTGGACCAGAGCTCAGACCAAATAATAGAGCTATATATGCAGCCTACTGCCTATAAAATGCTTACAACTTTGACAACCTAAAGAAACAAACCCATCAATAAATCAACTGAATTAGTCTCAAATTCTTACCTTGAGCTTGTGTCTGGTCACGGCTATTCCTTCCTTTGAACCAATCAAACAAACCAAAGCACCTGCAACTCATAGCAAACGCCAGATACCAATTCAAGATCTTGTAGCTACACACCTGAACCCATATAAACCAGATCTCTTATTCAATCCTGAAATAAAAAAAAAACAAAACCCTCGTTAATTGCTCATAAAGCAAAAATATGGAAGGTACCATTACCAAGGTACCTAACCAAACCAGTTATACGAAACAGATTAAAAGAATACAGATAATTCACCAACCTAACAAATTGAGAACGTTAAATTTAATCTACAATCCTAACCTAGGTTCCCAGCAGCTAGTATGCTGAAAAAAGCATGGTTTGGTTGAAGAAAATTCAGTAAGAAAGCCCCTTGAAGGATGGTGGAGCAGACACAATTGGGAAACGTGAAGATCCATTTATCATCAAAGGGTGTAAGAATTGGGTTGTAAAATTTGACTGTATAAAGGAATTGATAAATAGGTGGAAACAAAATGTTTGGCATTAACAGAAACGAGTGAAAGAGATATTGAAAGTAACGACATTGATAGGGATTGCCAAGTAAGGCAAGACACGATAGCAAAAACCTCGTTCACACTTTGGTGATTGGGCGTTGGGAGTTGGTGATTTTGATGGACGCTGGTTATGCTTTAATAATACTAGGAGTTTTCTCTAATTAGATAAGACAGTTTTTGTTGACTTGTTGGTTTGCTTTCTCCAACCATCCATCCAAACTCACTTTTGATTACATGCTAGCAAGAAAAATACAAAATTTCACTCGAAAGAAAAACAAGTAAATGAAAGTAACTGGATTTCTCTGCACACGCTAAAGAAAATTTCCCTTAAAATGACGCCAAAGCAGATTGAAAATGTAAAAAAAGTTATTTTTTTTTCTAAAGTTCCACGTATAATTCAAGTCAACTCAACATTTTGTATTTGGCTTTGATGATAGTAATTAACATTGTTTTTGGATTTGACATTGTCAGACTCTGTGAAAACAAAATCTAGCCACTGCAAACATGGTCCAAAAGACCCTGGACGGTGGACCTACATATTTTGGAAACAAATGTAGCAAAGGCAGCAGTATGATTTCATTTCAATTTTCAAAGTCATTGGAGTTCTAGAAATCAAAACCATAGTCCTACAACTTGTTCTACAACAACGGAGCTACTTTTGACATTTATGAAGGAAAGTGAAATATGGGTGCCTGCTTGTTTTTTTGCTCCTCCTGACAGCGATTCCGTGGTCAACTTGGCTAGCTACTTATGCCTGCTTGAAACTATTTGCCTTGGAACCGGATGTTTTCTTGTATTTATTTAATATTGATGAACCAACGAAGTTATTATATATCGGATTGTATTAATTATTACTAATTAATAAATAATTATCATGATATTATATTATTATATATCTAAATGGTAGTATATTAATGTTAAATGGACTCGTAATGAGATAAATTAATTTTAATTAAAATGTTAAAGAAGGTGATTGCTTACACCTCTTTCTTTGTCTATATATATGAGACTAATCCATTAGATTTTATAACTTTAATTTTGAGAGACAGATAATTTTTCTCTCTTTTGCTTTGCAAGTCTCCGATCAAACTCTAGAGATAAGTATTAGAAAGCTGCCATGAATCGTGGATTAAGTTGGAGTAAGTTCTCATCTACATTTAGATTAGTTTTAGATCCCGTTAAATTATGTTAGTAATCTTATGAGCTTTTTAGCTGAATTCAACAATTAATATCAAAACTAAACTCACCATGAAAGTCATTAACTACTTTTGACTGGGTGGATGCCACCGTTAAAAGCTTCAAACAAAGCTTTTGGATTTTTAGGTTTTTAGACCATTTCTTTTTTTTATCTTTTTGGGCTATAAATTCTTGTTTTGTTGTTGTGGAGCTTACACTAGATTGAAATTCGATTTTTTAGATCCAAAACGTTGTAAAAATTGTGAGTTTTGGTCAAAAATGGGTTAGATAAAAAAAACTCGAAACTAGGCAAAACGGGCTGAAAAGATGGCACGCGTTGTGCGTGAGGCGCGTGTAGGACACATGCTCAAATTAAAAAAAAAAAAAAAGAGAAAAAGGAAAAACTTAGGAAAAATTCCGTTTTTGCCCCTACAGCATTGGACCATTCTGATTTAGATCAATTTGATTTTCACCTTTTTCATATTAGGTCTTAGTCTTTTCATTTTCGGATACTTTCCTTCTACGTCATTAGGATTACGTCATTAGGATTAGACCACTTTGTGAAAATTAAAAAGGTATTTCATTATTGTTGGGTAAATTTATTTTTCTCTTCCACAGTGGGCTATTTTTCCTTTTCAAGCTATTTTTTTTTTGGGATCATTTAGAGTTGGCCATTGGGTGAAAATTAAAAGAATTTTTTATTCTTGTTGATCTATTTTTTTTTAGGTCAAATTTAATAATTAAATTTAGAAAGCCATTAATTTAATTAATTTTGATTATTTTGTTAATTAATTTGGATCAAATAAATTTATTGAATTTTGGGTCATATTAAATTAAATTGAAGTCGATTTTAATTTTAATTCTATTTAAGACCATTTAGGTCTAAGCCATTTTGTTGAATTTAAAATTTTGGTCATTTTGTTTTAGATAAGTTTTGTTGAAATTAAAATATGAGACTTAATTTAAATGATATTGGCCATTTTGCTTAAGACTATTTTAATTAAAATTTTTTGTAAAATATTTTGAGTCCAAAATTAATGGTTTCATTATGTAAAATATTCAGTCTAAGTAAATGAGTGATAAATGAATTATTTTGGTAAGCTAGTTAGCCCAGTTTTGGTAATTAAAATTTACCCATTCGGTTAATAATTCATTTAGTTCCATAAAGCTCATTTAATTAATAAAATTGCCTTATCATTTGAATATTCACAGTAAATCATATTGATTGATTATGTCAAATCTAATTTTTAGAATATGCTTCCGATATTATATATTTCTATTGTAGTTAAATATCGGTCTGACAATTTTGATGAATATTCTTAAATTATACAAATCACTAATAGGATTGATTAGAACCTACTTGTCATAAGAGTGATCATGAAAATTTTAAAGATTTTTTTGATAATTTATTTTGAATAATAATAAGGCAAATCTCTTATGATAGTTGTAATATTTACTGAGGTCTCTTAAGGTGATAAAACCTTCTTTGTCAGATTGATTATTACTTTAAGCGATGCTTGATAAGGAAATGATTTTGGGTAGGGTATAATATGATTTAGCTACCATGTTGGTAGCAAGTATTTTACGGTTATATCCTACCAGTTTTGTATTATCTTTTGTTGTATACTCCAAAAAATATTTCAAATTATAGAATTTAACAGAATAGCCATTCTAGCATGATTTTGTTCACATGCATAATACAATTTTGGATTATTTTATAAAGCCTCCAATCTCAGTTTTATATCAGTAATTATCATTTAACAGGATCATTCAGATAAATGGTGCGAATCACTTTCTACAATGGAATAACCATTCTAGCATGATTCTGTTCACATGCATAATATAATTTTGGGTTATTTTATAAAGCCTCTAATCTCGATTTTGTATCAGTAACTACCGTTTAATATGATCATTTAGATAAATGGTGTGTATCATTTTTTTATAGTTTTAAGCATAATAAATTTGAAAATAGCCCAGAGAGTTGATCACTTTCAATGCCCATTCAAGTGACAAGCCTACATTACTGAGCTCGTTTGAGGACAAAAAGATAGTGTGCTTTCTAAAGACACTCTAATTGGACTTGTTTGATGATGTGTAAGTATACCATTAGCGAATGTATCAAATAGAGTGTCATGCACATTAATAATTAAAAATGCCATTAGAGTCACTTTAGTAATGTTTCATAAGGTTGAGATATTAAATCACATAGACTGTTCGCCACTACCATTTTGGATAGGGTAGATTGTTCCTATGAACACATTCTAAAAAATGACTAATGTTAAAATACGGGACCAATTCCTACTGTGGTAAATTTTTGGATAGCTTCTTTTTGGGGATGATAGTGTGATTGAAATCCATCCATAAAGTATGAAAGAAACATATGGGATTTAAATATCATGAGTAACATAACCATCTAAGAAGAGAAAATATTATAAGTTGACAATTTCATTCTATCCTCTAGATGATATGGGTTAGCACTATGCTAAACGAAACATTAAGAAAGGTCTTATTAAAAATCACTTAAAATTTTTTTTTTGTAAAATCCACTTCCCATTTCAATTCCACAAATGCCTATAAATCATGAAATCAAAGGATTTTGGAATATGTGCCACTGTTGTTATAAATAAGCGATAAGAAGCTAATCTATATAATTTTTATGGTTGAAAAGTGAAGTAAGGCATTCAATTAGCCTTTTATGTTTGAAGTAAGGCACTCTATTAACCTTTTTTGTTTGAGTCCAATTTCGATAATATGCCTTCTGCTTTCGTGGTTGGATACCGATGCTAGTGTTGATAAGCCAAATCTTGTAATTGGTGAGCAATCAAAATTAAAAAATGATATTTGTGAATATGGGTAATTTTCTTTCATTGCGCATACAATAAACAATGTGGTCATTAGTTCTTAATAACTCTATAAAATAGAGTTATTTTTACTTTGTTTTTGGTAAAATAAGCTTTTTTTTACTTTTAATATGCTTAATTTGCTGTTTTGTATGAAATCCTAAAAAAAAGATGGAATCTTGGTAAATCTTGAAGAATCTTAGCATTTCTTGATTAGTCTTGGATGATTCTTGGTGCATTTTAAGTAATCTTAGACTATTCTTGATGTGTTTTTGTTGATTCTTATAAATTTTAAAGTTAAATTGATGAATTTCTACAAGATTTACGTTGTTGAACCTAAAGAACAAGAATTATTGAATCTTAATGAAAAATTCAAAAAATTCATGTAAGAATTGTTTAAGGGAAGTTTGGCCATTATAGGAGGCAAAAGGGTAAATTCAAGTTAAATGCATGTGCATGGTAATTTATGTAATGCATAGTGTATGGGTTTACTAATGGATGATATCACAATAAGTTTTTTTTATTAGCCAAGTGAGATGACTTGAAGGCTTAAGTGGCATGATGACTTGAAAATTTTGTTCCTATTTGAAAAAGTCCAAATCACCCTTAGTTTTCCTATTTCAAGATGGTTTACTTATTTTGACTTAGAAATCTCACTTTGACTTGAAATTCTTATCTTGACTAGGAAGAACACTTGGTTATCCTACTTAGAATTGGTTTCTTAAAGTTAACTAGAAAATCTTAGTTTGAATAAGTATTCCTATTAAGGGTAGAATTTGTATGAAGATAGAAAAACACTATAAAAAGAGGGCAACACATAAGGAGAACATAACTCAAAATTTTATTTCTCTCTTCTCCAAGAACTTTTAACTAGAAACATAAGTTCAAGATCTAAGAAATTGATCTAAGACCAATTGATTTCAAGATTTAAACTTGATTCAAGAAAGATTTAAGAATTGTTGAAGCTTAGTCCAAGTTGGAGTTCTTATTCAGAAAGGCTACCAAATGTTCAAAAATAATTACAAAGCATTATTTTCTCTTAAAAAAAGCTTCAGCCACCATCTACTTATCTTTCTAACTTTAAGATTATTTGTATTCTTATTCTATAAATAGCTAGCTTAGGTAGTAAAGAAAATCATGGTTGGGGTGACACATCTTATAGCATTATAAG